CCCAGTCTTTGGGCAAAGACGAGCTAATCATCCGCTTCCTCAGGGGAGCCAGAAGGATGAACCCCCCTCGCCCCCCCACGGTGCCGGTCTGGGATCTTTCTATAGTTCTAGAAGCTTTGAAAGCCCCACCGTTTGAACCACTCGAGTCCGTGGAGCTAAAATACCTCTCGCTAAAAACCGTTTTTCTGGCTGCCCTTGCCTCAGTAAAACGCGTGGGGGACATTCACGCACTGTCTTCTAGCGCCGCGTGCCTTGAGTTTGGACCTAATGACTCCACTGTCATTCTGAAACCTAGACACGGTTATGTCCCAAAAGCGATTGGTACCCCCTTCAGGGCGCAAGTGATCTCTCTATCGGCGCTGCCTGCATCCGATAGTGAAAGTGACACGGATCGCCTCTGCCCGGTCCGGGCTTTGAGAGTGTACACTACACGCGCTGCTGCGTTCAGACGCTCGGAGCAGCTGTTTGTGTCGTTTGGCGGCCGCACCAAGGGTCTAGCCGCCTCTAAACAGACACTGTCTAGGTGGATAGTGGATGCTATTGCTTCTGCTTACGCCTCAAAAGACCTGCCTTGCCCGCTGGGCGTCAGGGCTCATTCCACCAGAGGCATGGCCTCATCGTGGGCATGGTCCTGCGGAATTTCCATTCACGACATTTGTGTGGCTGCGGGATGGGCCTCCCCCTCCACTTTTATCAGATTCTATAACTTGGAAGTTCCCGCCTTACAGGCTAAATTACTGGCGGTCTAGTACTATACAGCTCTCCTATAAGAAGCTGCACTATTGGGAGTCCTATCACAACCGGTTCGCCCCTTGTGCTTCCCCCCTATGTGCTTATGCGTTATACGTTCACGGCCCGCTATGCCGGCCGCCTTAAGGGCGTTTTGCATTAGATGATAACGGCCGCTATGCTGGCCGCCTTATTGTCTTTTTCCACCTTAAGATTCCCCCGGTGTTTTCCCCCTGGGATGCTTAGTGGTTACATAGCGCGCACAGCGTTGACCAGATGTTCCCGTAGCGTAAGCTAGCTTACGCAATACGAGAGAACCTCTCGTAAGAGAACGAATCGGTTACCTAACGTAACCTCGGTTCTCTCTAGATGAGGGAACGAGTATTGCGTTCCCGGCCGTGCTTGCGCCATCAGCGTTTCGCTTCATGCTGAAAGAAATCAACTACCGAGCCTGGGAGAGCCAGTTTTATACACTGTAGCCACGCCCCTTTCGGCGGGCTCTGACGCAATGAGCGAGCGCCGTCCGCTCATTGGCCGCGGGCTCAGCGCCGCTCTCCCATAGGATCGTGCATTCTCTCTGAACGAACCAATGAGCTGCTAGCTAGCCCCGCTCACGGTCTGCCTCAGAGAGACTGCGTTGACAATGATTACAAAATTATGGAATAATTTTTTGGCTTCAACTTCTCAGCAAAGATTAATCTTTCCCGTGGCGTAAGCTAGCTTACGCAATACTCGTTCCCTCATCTAGAGAGAACCGAGGTTACGTTAGGTAACCGATTCGTTTTCTGTACCACCAATAAAATAACAAATTATAAATTGAAGTTCTGCAGCCTTTCTTACATACATACAGGACCGGATAGGAGGACAAAATGGCAAAATTAATCATATCTTATTAGATTACTGAGTGAGTAGATCCCTGTGTGACATAGTAGTAGATGTTTAACTCGTATTAGGCAGTGGGCCAGATTTGTCTGACGTTACATCCCTTACGAAAAAGAACTATAGTAATCCTTTGGCTATTAGTATTCTATAGTAGTGTATAATACTTCTGTGATGTTCATTAATACCTATACTTCTAGGCTATGTCCCAAAATACTATAATATTCCTATAGGATTAACGTTACGATAATATTTTGTCCTCAAATACTACAAGATTCCTTTAGTTGTTTTTCATAATGGATGTCTCAGTCACATTAGCGTTATCAGCTGAAGGTTATCAGACTGCAGTCTGTGAGAATTCGGATAACTGTCAGCAAAGTCCCTCTGCAACTTCACAGCTACTACTACTGATCACCGTTTTACAAAAGGATTAATAGTTTGGAGTGAAGCATACGTACAATTGGTAAGTGACATGGTTTTATGGACTTATAGTAACTTATACGCAAGTTGATTGAGTAATAGGCTTGTGTTGCCGGTAGTTTCCACGATGTCTTACCTGGAGATTCAACCAGATAACAATAGTCTGGAAACGACACCTCCGGCCATTTGGTTGGGTCATTGACCCAGTTTTTAATTGAATAAGGGCAATCATAACCTATTAAAGTTAATTTTGCAATGTACCGTTGCCGGTCGGCAGGCATAAATGACTTGCAATATGACATTTTTGTCATTCAAATACATAGGATGGTCGCGCTGCTTTCCCCCACACCGACCACGCCCCCCAACTATGACGCGTTGCCGACTGTATTGAGTGCAGAGGTTTTTTTTTTTTTTTTTTCCTGGTTCGGTTATGACACGCCTCATAATCAAAGCCCAACGGAGGAGTTTCAGACTCATATTTTCTCTTGAATATGAGTATGACGAAGTCAGGCTAATCGTTACCCTATATGTTTTTCTCATCGCAGGCAAGACATTTTCAAATTTACTATTAAGATTGAATGATGACAAATTTGTTTTCATATCTAATTTGAAAAAAAAAAATTCAGTTCTTATAAACATTTTACAAACATTTGAAATAGGCTGCACCAAGCCAATTCAAGGTAGGCTACATTTTAACCAGCAAACAAACAGTTATAGATCAATACTGACCTCTTACCTTGTCTGCATTATTGCACAAACTATTTGAAGACAGAACAAAAAAAATGAGGCCCCTTTTACCACTGGCTTACTTGATATGTTTTAACATCTTTCTTGAGAAATGTATCTGCAAATCGGAACAGTAAGTAAATTATTATTTTCTTTTTTTTATGCATTATATAGTTAGGCCTATATTTTTATTAATTGAGTTGTTGGCTGTAGCAACACCCAAGACCAAATACTTCCGTAATATGTCAACATTTAGAAAGCTAAGATAGTGTTTTAAAATTGTTTATTGTAATCCATGTGAAATCTACCTGTAAACAATTAAGCTTCTTACAGGAGAAAAAAAAAAATCATCTCACCGAGATTCTTTGTTCCAATGCAATTTTTGACAGTGGTTTTGTTTTTTATTCTCCATTTAAAATATATTCTTGAATGTGTGTTCATCGATTAAATGTGGATACGTACATTGTAGCTCTGATGGATTACTGTTAAAATACAAGTAGACTATGAATAACTTTGTTATGATATAATGGCAGCCAAATCTTTTAAATAGACAGAAAACGGTATATCCTACCGAAGTGGTTATTGTGAATAATTATGTATCCATATTGTTCTATATAAAGTACTTGCATGTGATTAGTTTTTTTTTTTCTTAACATTATTGCCCCTTCATCTGCATATCCTCCTACATAGCAATTGAAATGACTGCTGTTGTTTCTCTATTAATGCACAGTGACCAGGTTTTGTCCATCACTGTATCCACACAGGAAGATGTGAACACAGTGCGGAACATGACAAGTCACAATGAGGTGAGAGGTTATTTATTGCCATCTGTTGACTAGCATTCTGTCATGGGACGATTGCGAATATCGGTAACACTTTACAATAAGGTTTTTTTTATTAATATTTTATTAATATTAATTTCAACATTTACTTATACATTTCTAAAATCAAAAGTTGTATTTCTTAACACTAGTTAATGCACTGTGAGGTAACATGAACAAACAATGAACAACTGTCTTTATAAACTAATATATGGATAAAGTTATTACTGTAAATGTATGTTACATTAACAAAGATGAATAAATGCAGTAACAAATGTATTGCTCGTTGTTAGTTCATGTTACTGTAATCAATACATTAACTAATGAACCTTATTGTAAAGTGTTACCTGTCAAATTACCTGAATATCAAATTTGAGATGCAATATCTACATACTGTAGTTACACAAGAATTTAAGTAAGAATCATTTTACAAATATTGGTGGTAAATTGATTTGATTTATTGATCTGACACACCTGTGAGTTTCAGCTGACATGTAAACTTATGTTCTGTGCTTGTTCAGACAGTATTGTGGCAACCTGCTTCGCCCAGTTACATTACAACAAATACTGAGGTTCACCTTTACATTCAGCCAACAAGTGTGGAGTTTGTCACTGAACTTCTACGCAAACATGGCATTACTTATAGGTATGCAAATCTGTTCAGTTTGTTGTATTATGGACTAATAGATAGATAGACACTAGACAGACAGACAGATAGATAGATAGATAGATAGATAGATAGATAGATAGATAGATAGATAGATAGATAGATAGATAGATAGATAGATATGTGACTGTGTGTGTTTGTGTGGATGGAATCACACGGAGAGCAGGTGGATGGTCACTCAAGAGTAGTTTTTACTGAGCCTAAGACAAACAACCAACACTGGTTAGAGTGGGCAGTGCATTCACGCATCTTAAATGTTGCTCACAGATCAGCAGGAGAGATGTGAAACTCTGATCATACATTTTACAAGGTGATCGTATAGTGAAATTAAACTAAAAATAAGACATACATTAAAGAAATAAAGTATAACTCACTGTCTCTGTTCTCATTTCTCATCAATTTACAATTGCAGACAGACAATAAATTTAAGCAACCATCATTTTCATATTTTTGGTATAAAATGAAAAACAGAAAGAAAGGAACAGGCACCTAAAATGGCGCAGTCACTCTGTCCAGCACGTGCGAGCCATAGACTGTAAAAAAAGATGGACGACGCCCCTCCGCTCTTTTCCATCGGAGAGAACTGTAGCCGCCAGTGTCTCGATATGACGCTGACATCTTGGGACCTGAGTCTGCGCACTTGCGTGTTTCGGGAACAGTCATGCGCAGTCGTGAGCAGGAAGTAAAGCCGCGAAATCAAGGCCGCGCCCTCCTTCGCGCTGAATCAAACGCAAGCACACGCCCCTCACTTTCATTAAGTGTCCTCTGTCTGCTTCGTTCTTCTCCAATGGTGTCTGCTGATTGCAGAACCTCGTTAAAATAAGGTAAATACAACAACTGACCACATAATCAACATTATGGAAAAAGTCCGCTGGTGCTTCAGTGACTACCTCGCACAGAGAACCTGTCAATCACAGCTGTCAATCATGATGTCACAGCACCGTTTTTATCATCACATAACTAACTAAAAACAAACTTATTTTAAAAAACGAACACTTGAAATTACATCAACGTGATAGAAACTACAGTAAATGACAGAAACTATCTTTGGAAAAAGGATATGTGAAGTGTAATTTAATTGTTTAGTTGGTCTCGCGTCCCATTGAATAACATGGGGAGGCGGGATTTATGAGCTATACTACCCAGACAGCAAACTGACATTGAATCAACGTGGAAACGACGTCTCTCATGACATTGAAACAACGTTGATTTTGCTCATCGAATTAACGTTGAACCAACGTCAGACGCGGCATTCTTCAAAGCTAAATGAAAATCGAAAATTGGTTTGCTTTCATAACGTTGAAACAACGCGTTGATTTCAAGTTGATTTTCCGTTAGTTTTGAAAGAATGACGCGTCTGACGTTGGTTCAACGTTAATTCGATGAGCAAAACAATGTCAGATCAACGTTGTTTCGATGTCATATTTCCACGTTGATTCAATGTCAATTTGCTATCTGGGTAGGACCGGTCACAGGGGGTCGATCGAGACGTTTTGGCTTCACTTTTGAGGGCTTGTGCGGCACGCTTGGTGCGAGCACGCAGCACATGTGAGCACACAGCACGTGTGCTAATGCTACCTCAGCTAATACATTTATACACAGAAGATGACAAATTTGAATATAAAAACATACCTGAGACAAACAACCAACACTGGTTAGAGTGGGCAGTGCATTCACGCATCTTAAATGTTGCTCACAGATCTTAAATGGAATCAACAGAGAATCGGAGTTCACAAGCAGATTAACATAGGCTACACAGTCATCACATTTTACCATCGCAAATAACATATTTGACTCGACTGACAGAGCTAGGGACTGACAGATGTCATGAAGTAAACTTGTGTGCAGTATTTAAATCCATCGTTGCACTTTAAAATATAAAACTCTGTTTTTAATGACACAGCACTTTTTGATGCGACTTACCAGCAGGAGAGATGTGAAACTCTGCTGGCTGCCTGGTAACGTAACTCCGCCCACAATATCACGCACGTAAATGCGAGTGACGCAAAAGCCAATTGGAAGTTTGCCAATTTAAAGCATGAATTTATAAACATTATTTTAAACTCCGTTACAGATAGATAGATAGATAGATAGATAGATAGATAGATAGATAGATAGATAGATAGATAGATAGATAGATAGATAGATAGATAGATAGATAGATAGATAGATAGATAGATAGATAGATAGAAACATTTAAGGTAACTTTTTAGTTTTATTTATAAAGATTATTTAAATGAGTGTTCGCATTTATACTTAGGACCTATTTTTTACAGTCTATGCTTAGGACAGACTATTATGTTCAGAATTTATCTGATGTGTTAAAAAGCAACTAATTGATTTTTTAAGACTCAAAACTAGTTTTTGATATTTGTACAGAGTTCTTTTGGAAAACACACCAGCACTGGTTGGGATGCAGACCAGAAACGATACATCAGATCCACGGAGTGGAGGCGTGTTCTACGAGAGATATCATTCCTTAGAAGATGTAAATTGGCAAACAATTTAAAATTTATCTCGACCTTTGCATTAATTTCACTGAAAATTACAATTTGACCAACTTTTTCTCAGATCTATTACTGGATAAATAAGACCAGCCTAGATCATTCAGACATGGTGAAAGTTATTCTTATTGGGTCATCTTCTGAGAAGCGGCCACTCTATGTTATAAAGGTACACTCATTGTATTACAGTAAGAATTGATTTACTAGAGATGTGAGTGTTCTTTGAATATGTTTTTTAAACACATTACAGACACATCCACAATTTAAATTATGACTATCTGGTTGTCTGTCTTCATGCTGCAGCTGTCAGGCAGGAGAGATGAGGTGAAGAGGGCCATGTGGTTGGACTGTGGGATTCATGCACGGGAGTGGATCGCTCCAGCCTTTTGCATGTGGTTTGTCAAATATGTTAGTATAAAGTGCTCACTCTCCTTTCAGCATTGTAGCTTAAGCCTTAACCTAAGCTGTCTGTGTCATGCTTTTCTTCACCCTCAGAGTCAGTGATTTGCTAAGTAAGACATGTTCCTGGATGTTGATCTTTTGTTAATCCTGGAACAACAATTTTGTCCAAAAACATAACCCTATCCTTACCCCTAAATATAAACCTATAACATATCCCTTAAACCTGAGGGAAATGATGACTAACACTAATGTAGAAGCAAGCCCCTAACCCTTGTTGCAAGCCTAAACTTGACATTAACTTTAAACCTCCCTCAGATCTGATTGGTTGATTGGAATGTTGTCAACAAGGATGTTGATCCAGGAACATGTTTTACTTTGTGAAATCCTTTTCCCCCCCATCCTCATCCCTAAACCTAACTTATCCCTAAAATAAGACGGACATGATAGGTGAATAACACTGGTGTAAAAGCACCTAACCCTGGTTGTTAGCATAAACTTGACATACACTGTTAACTTCTCCCTCAAATCTGATTGGTTGATTGGAATGTTGTTCCAGGATGAGCAAAGATATTGATCCAGGAATATACAGTACTTGGTGAAATCATGTTCAATCTTCTTCACCAACCTCTTTAAGACAATTAATCAATTTAACCAATTAAATTGGCAGAGCTACTCGTGTAATATAATAGCCTACTTAAATCTCTTAAATAATGTCTCATAACTATCCAAACTGTTTTAGACCTAAAAGAGTTTGGTAGGCCTGTATGTCACATGTCAGAGAAAATAACAGAATCAGAGATTCATTTTTTTAATAGAAAATTGTACTTTGCATATTATACTGTAAAAGTACATATAGTTGCTTTTAGTTGATCATAACTAGAGAAAAAATGGCATGAAGATTTAATTTCATTATTTAATTTTATTTATTTTTATTTAATTTAATTTTATAGTGATAATGATCACGGTTGTCAACGAATCCTGTTCCAAAGGTACTAAATCAACAAGGTTTATGTCAAAAACTAGCAATTAACATATAAAATTAGCATCAATATGACCTTTTTGTTTACATAAACATTAAAATAATAGCATTAAAAATAATGACCAGAGGGGTATTGCACAAAAGTAGAATTAAGAAAGCCAGGATAACTGAACAGTCGCGGTTTGACCTAGTCTGATCAGTGCATCCTGGCTTAATCCGTTGCACGTTTGATGAGCCAGGATGAGAACGCGCGGCTATGTCAAGCCAGGTGTATATAGTTTGGATAAATGCACGTTCACGGCATTCTTAAAAAGAGCGCGAAATCGATCACAGAATCACCGATCCAAAAATGGACAAAACGCGTGCGGCATACTTTTCACCTAATGAGCAACAGCTTCTTATGGAAACGTATGAAGAAGTGAAACATATAATGAAACATATAATATGTAAAAAAGCCAATACAGATGCTGTAATAAAACAAAGAGAGAATGCCTGGCAAACAATAGCAGACCGATTGAATGCTAAGTCCATAAATAACCACACTCTAAAAAAATGCTGGGTTGTTTTAAGCCAATTTTGGGTCAAAAATGGACAAACCCAAATGTTGGATTTAAAAATGCAATTAATAAATTCAATCCAACAGCTGGGTTTGTCCATATTTGACCCAAAATTGGTTTAAAACAACCGAGCACTTGCACTTGCACTTGGGAGTTACTTGTCATTTAAAAAAATAATTGTATATTTTGCCTTAAATGTGACCAGTGGACATACATTTAACATGAAGAATAATTGCAAACACTTACCTACTATGTGTATATTTTATATATTTAGTTTATTTTATGTCTATTATCTCTTTAATCTTTTTACTCTTATCTATTTCTATGTAGGTTTTGTTTCTAATTGATTTAATGTAATCTATAATCAGATATTTTGCACTATTTTTATCCATCTAATCTATTTTATCATTTGTATCTATTCCTCTTAAAGAACAAACATGTCTGGCCAAAAAAGGACTTGGCAGAAAGTCTAGATTAAATACAAGAATATTTTGCAGGCTGGTAAGTGACTTGTCTGCAGAGAACATGGTGACATGTTTGCTGACATTTAATCGTCTGTGCTGATTTTAGCAATAAAAAAAGTCATATATCTGGTACGGGGGTGGCCCTCCAACCCAAGACTTCACCACAGCACAGCACCACAGGCCTATAAAGGGAAGCCAGTGATTCCAATGGGTCTGCCCTATCTCGGATGACTCTTTCATGGCTGAATGCTCGTCTGAGTATTAAAACTTCCTCATCAACTACATCATCCAACAAAGGGCAAGCCATTGTGAATAGGAAAAACAAATCTTTAGTCTATATATACTATATATTGACCTTGTTGTTACATGAAACCACATTTACGACTTAATGAGCCATTTCTTATTATCTCATCAACTGCAATAAAATAGCCTATAATTTTTTTTATCATTCAACTATACATTTCTACTCTAAATTTGCATAGATATACATAGTCTTTCTATTTCTCATATTGTATAGTATAGTTCTTTTGCATTGTGTTGGCATTTATTGTGGACAGCGAAGTTATAATTGCTCAGGAAAATCTGCTTTCCTCACTGCAGGTGTATGCCAATAAACACTTTGAATCTCAAATAATATATTCATCAAACCTCTGACAGTGAAATGAACAGCAGTTTTTAATAATAACTAAAATATCAGTACGCATTCTTAGATGAATGGCAGTATATCTAGTATTTTAATGCAGGAGCATAAAGTAACTAAAACATTAATATCTAGTAGGATTTAGGGAGGAACTAGTCGATAAATCACTAGGATTAATCTTAGCCTGGTTGTTAGCCTGCTCTGGAGCAGGCTAGCTGCAAAGTGTAAATCTCCATAGTAACTTAATGTAGATTAATTTAGCCTCCATTCGTGCAACCGAGTCAGGGCTAAATTCAGCCAGGATAACTGGAAAATCCCAGCTTAATCCCTTATCTTGCTTTTGTGCAATACCCCCCAGATTTCAAAAGAGTGTCTTGCACCATGTTATTTACTAACATGTAGGTACAAGTTCAAATAAAGTTTTGACAAAAAAAAAGGTTTTATAAAAAGATAAACTTCACATATTTCAGATAATTCTTTTATAAAAAGAATGAGTAAAAAAAAAGATAAATTACTGACATTTATAATGCACATTAGCTTATCTTTTAGTAAAATTTGATCAGATTTTCCGGTGGCGTCTGTCGTTGCAATGCAACCATGCACTGCACACAACAGCAAATTTTTGGTAGCTAATGGATTTCCACCACCGAAAAATGTTTTCTGTAGCTCTGCTACAAGATTTATTTACTGAGTTCAGAGAAATATACCAGTAGTGTTTGAGTACACCCCCATTCTTCATGTTGACTGAGCTTTCAATGTTGTTACGGTAAGGGTGAAGCTGACTAGTTGGTTCTTGTCACATGAACTGCGGTACGTTTGCAGCATTCTAGAAAGCAGAAACTTTTTCATTTTACTGCGCCTGGAAAAAATGAGCGTGTCACTTTCCACGTGCCTACATTTGAGCGAAGTTGAACACGCAAAAAATGCGATAAGTAAACGGTCCCTTGGAGAGCTATCTCCAATCAAGCAGACTGATCTCATGAAGTAGCGTGTGTATGACACGCCAATTCGTATTTCCATTTTTGGCGTGCTATCAAGACGCATAATCGCCTTTCAGCGTGTTTATGAACGCCGTTGACTTAACGTTATATAAATATATGACTTACCTCAACCCCGTCCCTAAACCTAACCGTCACTGGGGTTAATGGCATTTATGACTGCTCCCTACTATCCTAGGTAAAAAAAAGATATGACTTACCTCAACCCCATCCCTAAACTTAACCGTCACTGGGGTTAATGGCATTTATGACTGGAGATTTGACTGCGTGTACAGACACGCGGAATGACGCGGACGTTAATGGCGTAGACATACACGCATACACATGGATACACGCGGATAGCTCAAAATGCGTAGAGATAACACGCCACCTGACTCGAAAGTGGCGTGTATGTTTACGCAAA